CCGAAACTGTACTGAACAGTAGGAGAGAGATTTCCTCAACTGATCCCAGGCCCCAACCCCCTCTCCTTCACTTTTCCGAGCAGACGACACTCCGTGCCAACTTACGAGATGATCTCGGCCGGCCAGCTGGCTTCGATCGTAGCCCATTCGACCTTTTGGCCTGTGAACAAATCGTTACGAGATGGTGCATCGGCCGGGTTCGAATCGGTTGCCACCCTGTCAATAAAAACACGAATGTGCAAGCGTTGAACGAGGTTCCAAAACTCAGAGACGAGCAGGCGGAGGTCCTCTTTGCACGAGTATCCTTTGACCAAGGCCGCCTCCACGACTTCTGAGTCAGTAAAAAGGAACAAATCCGTGCCGAGCAGTCGATCTGCAAAAGTGTGAACTGCCACGATCGTAGCTACCATCTCGACCGGAATGATCTGAGTCTTCCGTTCGCACCACCTCCTTTTCACCTTTTGGGAAACACAGGCGGTGAATTGAACGGGGGCCATACACCTACGATCAAAGATGACGGCGCCGATCCGGTCCGGGAGCCGAATTGCATCTCTCGGGTCTGGAGAAAACCCATCGGTAAAAAGAACACAGTCAGCGCGTTTGTTTGCGCAAAAGTCGATCGACCTCGGGGGTCCCGCTTCCACCAGTCTCAGCCACTGTTTGAGCGACTCGCGAAGAGCAGGGTCTAGCCCAAAATGATCATCCTTAGCGAACCGCGTGTACTGTCGTTCGGAGATGGGCCTCAAGAAAGCTCTCCCTACCTTACCCCAGAGCTGGCTAGCTCCGAAAAGGAGTTTCCCCTTCAGCTTGCCTGCCTGACCAGGGTCGAGAGAGTCTGACTTCAGAATCAAGTTCATCTCATCGATCAGGTCTTTGCGACGGCTCTCTTTGATTTCAAGGACCCAATCCACAAGGTTGTAGGTAACACCTAGCACGACTGGCATGTCTGAAAGCTGCAGCTTGTGTGCGTCGAAAGCGGCACCAAGCCAAAAATGAACCTTTTGTGCCACGAGAAAGGCCGAGTTGATGGTTTCAACAGGTTCAAACCCATACTTATCATCATAGAAGTTGAAAGCAACAAGCCCGAACAGGGACATCAAGATCTCATTAATGGCAGCCGACCTACGATTGTAGTTGTAAACAGCTGCCACAAGCCCGAACGAATGTCCGACCATCACGAAAAATTCGGGTCTCCCAGACTTCGGGTTCTTGAGGCAAATGACACTGAACTTCCGGTGTGCAGGTCGAATGCCCACCTGCCGATAGGCTTTTCTTTCATCCAAGACCCAACCTGCGAAGCGCGAGTCAGGCGTTGACGAACGAAGTCTCCTTAGTGCCGCAACGTTCGTGTCGGTCGAGGGCAACTGAAGCTTCTCGGTGATCTGGGTAATCTGATTAATTAAATTAGTCGTGGCGCTGTCGCATCCACGAACCTTATTCTTCTGAACTACCTCAAACCTCTGAGTTGGAATCCAGTCATCGCAACCTAGCAGACTCGAGACTTCATCAGCAGACACGAACGGTCCAAGCGACGAGCCCTCAAGAACATCTTCAAGGGTGGCGTCCCAAATCTTCTGGAGATTATCAGAGACCGGAACCCCCGCCACTCGAGCGACAATTTTTGACCGGATCCCCCAGGCCCTAGAACATGCATGTTCGATCGAGAGAACTTGCTGAGGCTTCTCGTATTCAGGCCATCTCCGTGACCGAGCGATCGGACCTACGATGGGAAACCCGGCGAGCAGCAAGTCAGGCATGAAGCGATCGACTGACTGACACGCGGTCAGCATCTCTGAGTAGAGTGCCACATGACACGTCACACCGAGCTGGCATGGGTGCCCTTCAGGGGCGCCTCGCAACAGTCGACGAAGAGGTGCGTCAGGGACCTCGCTAATTAGCCGATCGGTGAGCGGCAACAGTTGCTGAGCACGGTGTTCCCAAAAGAGCAGGCCCTGGGTTCGACGATCGACAATGTCCCCCCGGTGGAGAGCGAGTGCCTCAATACATGCGGAAACCTGTGAATCAAGCTCAATCTCGGAACACAGAGGGTGGGGAATGTCAAGGGCCCATGCGATTGCTACTCCCGGCTCGGCCTCGGTGTGCAAGAGGGGCTTCCGAGCGCCTCGTTTCAGTTGGTAACCTGAAGCTTCAGCTTTCAGAGCCGTGAGAGCCTGGCGATGTTCCCTCCACCTCAACGGTTGGCCGATCGGCCGTTTCCGAGAGTTCGAGCACAAGGTGAAGCTCCTCATGAACTGCAGGCACTGAGGGGACCAAACAAGTCGAAGTGCTTCTGCGAACTGTTGGCACATAGCTTCCGGGTACACTTGAGCTAGCTTCGTGCGGAAAACCCACTTCATGAAAAATTCCGACCAAGTCTTGCCTTTCAAACGAATGTGCTTGTGCCCACCTTGGCATCGACGGTGCAACCCTTCGAGTGCCGCATGTGAAGTCAACAAGCGAGTCGGTTTGACAGACGGAGCACCGAACATGCATTGGTCGAGATTGACATGTCTGGCACGATGGACACGAGCGAACTCTTTCAACTGAGGTGTTTCCCAAATGAGGCTGAATTCCGGGTTTTCGATCGAGAAGTCTCCGCCGTGTTGAACGACAGCTGAGCAGGCCTCAAGTGAACGAAACAGGAACAAGTTCCCGAGAAAAACTAACGCCTCATTGTCCGCCGACAGTCCTGGACGACCAAGGGGGTCGTCATGGGAGCGTAACGGTGGGGGGCCCCCGTCGTCTTTGCGTGCAGACGCAAAGGTGTTGCACGGTGTGCCACAGTGCAAGAAACGAACCGCACCCGCACGAATGAGCTCCATCACGACCGACCATTGATCACTATCAACAACATCAAAGGCAGTGGGAACTTGTTCACAGATCGTGATGTCGATCGGCGGCAGAGTTGGGATGCCCGCACGCCTCATGGCCAACGTCAAGGTTGCCGTACCCGAGAAAATTTCGAGGAAGAACGGACCCTGAGCAGCAACTTGATGAACATCACGTGGAACGTCCGACCATGAACACCACTGCTTCGGATGCGACGGCACTGTCAGCTCAGGTGACTGCGCTTCATGCGTGCCGATCGACTCCTTTGGTGCAGGCGGGTGAGCTGGAGTCGAGGGCTCACCCCCTTCATGCTGAGCAGCTCAGTGGTTACCGTGCCAGGGATGATCCCTGCCACACTCGACACAAACATGGGCGCTCTTGCACTGATCACCAAAGCGACAGCCTAATGAGCAATTGTACCATGGACAACGTTTCTTGCCAGAATACTTGAATGAGTTGATCTTGCTCCACTCCTGTGCAGGAACACGAGCGTCCTTCTTGGGAGTGTCCTTGTGCGATGAGGCACCTGTCTTCAAATGGTCACGAGCGGCTTGGAGAGTCTTCTTTGCACGATCCCGACGAGCCTTGTTCTTCTTTGCTCGAGCCGAAGGCACCCCTTTCGGAGGCGTGTCCGAGCGGTCACGCTTGGTCCCCCGGCGTGGAGGTGTTGTTGGAGCCGACTGGTGACCCGCTTGCTTGAACTTCTCCAACTCTGCACTGGACCGAGCGTCATTCCAGAGCTGCTTGTGGTTGGTGAGAACTTCATTGAGCGCACTGGAAAAAGTGCCGAACGACTTGCGGTGATCCGCATTGAGACGATATACACCTTCCTCCTGATCAGTGAATCGACCGACAGCAACAGAGCGAGTCCATGGTTCTCATGGCGCCACTCTTCCAGCTCAGAAAGGTATCGCAGCGGGCCTGCGGCATAGGTGAACTCGCAAATGTTGAGGTACTCGAGCGCGACCAAAAAGGCGTGCAGTTTGTCCATGACCTGAGTTTCAGATGCTGCAGTGGTCGGTTGATCAATCGTAACGACCTTGAGGAGATCCTCTGCGTTCTTGGACAAGCCGCTTTTCTGAGCAATCTGCTCGCTGCGAGTCCGCAACTCACCGACTTCGTAGAAGGGAACGGATCCGTGCACCAGAAAATCTCGTTGCAAACGCTCGACTAACTTCCGATGAGGTTCGCGGTGGTGTGGAAGGAGGACATCAGGATGTCGAGCGACAAACTGCTCTCTGAACTCTGCGTGATCATCGCCTGGAATCTCTGGCACTTTCGACGGATCTTCCTCCATCTTGGCTCGACGGGCAGCGAAGTGGTCTTGCAACGTTGAACAAGTCTTCCAAACAGCTGCGAGCGAGGTCAAGGCCAATTCACGTTCTCCTGGGCTGGCGCCCAAGAGAGCTTCGTCTGCTATGATCACTTTCAGCGACTCTTTCACAGCTGCGATCGTATCGCCTAGCATAGCGAAGGCTTCCACTGTCAAAAGCTTCCGATCAGCGACTACTCTGCAGAGGTCCTCCTGGAGCCTCTGTCGGCCGAAGATCTGGCGTAGTGCCAGCTCCGGCACGAGAGCCGCATCGTACTTCGTTCGATCAACCATGACAGCGAACGGCCGAGCGCCGTGCCGAGACCTGAAAACCTTGAGCATAGAAAGACAGGCATAAACCGAACGGAGTGAACGTGTGCTGGTCCCGACGCGGTTCGAGCGCCACGTTAACCACCTCCGAGCGACAAACAGGTCAGAGTCACCTGGATCAGGTTGAAGAGGGGAACCTCCATGCCGTAGTACGAAGTCACTTCAGGGCGGGCACGAGCACATGCCTTGCACAACACGTTCGTGTCCGGAAGGACTTCACCCACCGACGAGCAGTCGGATAACGAGAAACGATTGCAAGCCGTGAACTCCTCGTTGTTCCGAGCGGTACAGTGGAATTTGTACTCGTATGAACTACCTGGACTGGGCTTCTTGATGAAGAACTCGAAAGCGCTGAGCTCCGTGTCCGGTGCGTCAAACAACACAGTATCCGCATCTT